AGGGAGCCCGATGCGGGACTCGATCCCAGGACTCCAGGATCATGACCTGAGCCGAAGGCAGTCGCTTAACCAACTGAGCCACCCAGGCACCCCATGGATTTCAAAATTTCTAAGAGAGTAGATCTTAAAAGCTTTCATCACAAGAAAATAAAATTTTTTTTGTAACTATGTATGGGACGGATATTAACTAGACTTATTGTGGGGATCATTTCACAATATATACAAATTTTGAATTATTATGTCATACACCTGAACTAATATAATGTTATGTATCATTTATACCTCAATAAAAAATCATGACTGGGTTTTATTATTAATCTACTTAGTTTGTGTAGCGTCACACAGGCTTTGAACTTTTAGTATATGTTAGACTGTTCGCTCTGTTGGTACCTTACCTCTAATTGCTAATGAAGTAGAACAAACAGTAAAGTAAGCAGATCATAATGCACATCTAAACTACTACATAGTCTTGTTTCAGTGTAGTTAGACTGTAGAGTTCTGTCCTATCCAGGGCGCTCCCAGCTGTCCTTGCTAACATCTATAAGTGTGTATACCTGGATGTGGTGACAGACCTGTGTGTTAAAGTTTACTGGTGTTGATACAGTTTCTTCACTGTTCAGTGGTCAACCTTAAAACCTTTTTACTCTTCTTAGAATTCCCATCCGGATTTCAGGTGCTTGAATGTTTAAGCCTTCCTCTGTATAAGTGAAGGTGAAATTCTAATTGAAAAACCATCTGCTTTTCTTTTGGTGGTTTCTTCTAAAATGTTGAACTTTTAGGTTTAGTATATAGTAATTCTACTTTAGTTTTCTTTGTGAAGGTGACTGTTTCTGCTCTCCTTGTTTTGATGTCCTCTTATTCAGACTGCAATTTATCAGTTCTTTTTATTTTTCTGTGTTTTTTAGACTTTTGCTGGTTGGTGGATGTGAAACTGCTGAGGTGGGCATATCAAAAGCTTCTCGCTATGGCCTGTCTGCCTGGAGAGTTCTTTCGGGATCGCCTTATTATAAGCAGGTTACTAATGGTGGAGACCGGGTCACTGCAGTAAGTATTAGTCACGCCATTTCGCTTTGCGAGTAGGTCTCAGGCAGGACAGAAGGAAATACTTTGTCTTAAATGAGGAAAGTGACTTCATGTGGAATTTTAGCGCTTCTTTCAAATATCAAATTTATCTAAAGTGTTTTTTTGTTTAACTTGGTCTCATTTTTATTAACAGTATTGGCAGATATTAGAGAAGGAACCTAACAGTAGTCCTATTACTTGCATTTGCTTATTTAGACATTAATGTTTATTCAGCACTTTTTATGGGCTGGCAACTGTTTTGAGTGGCTGTGCATATTAGCTCACTTAATTCTCACTGACTTTTTGAGGTAGGTATCGTTACTAGCCTGTCTATGAGGAGAGTACAGAGTAGTTAAGTAACTTCCCTGGGTTGCCGAGCTTGTAAGTAGCAGAATCGGAGCACGAGCTTCAGCACAGTTTCCCCCGTTCAAGTTCTTTAGCACCATGGTACACTTGCTAATATTTTGGTCTGTGTTCACCTGGATGATTCACCCAGCCGTTCATTCCTTTGCTGTGTAGCAGAGCACCTGGTGTGCTGTAATAGTCCGTACAGGCTAGGTTCTGCTGTGATAATAAAACCGTCCGATAAACAGATGAAAACTCCTCTGACATTTCTGTGGGTTACCACGTAACAGTTCATTCCTTATTTGTGGCAAAGCCTGTTCTTGGTGCCATGACTCCCCTGGACAGTTTGTTCCAAGTGATGATTAAAGAATCCACGCAGCTTGGTGACCTCTTGAGGTTCCAGTACCTCAGTTTATAGGAGGGGGAAGAGGGGTTTAAGAGGTGGAACTTTTCAAACCAGAGGTAACATTACCTGTGCTCACAGTTCATGTGTTCTAACTAATCACGTGACCCTTCCTACCTTCAACAGGCCTGGGAAATAGTTTTTCTGTGTGTCCAGAAAGGCAAGAAAAATGAGATATTGATGAATACTAATTTCTCTGCCATATTGGCACCCTACATATTGTTTACTTATGTTAACTGCAGGAAATCAAGCACTTGATCACAGTTATGCATCCTGTGCTTAGCACATTGCCTTACATGTAGTGGACGCTCAGATACGTTTCAAGTGAGGAAGAAACCAAGAAATTAAAGGGAAACACAACATAAGTGAATGTGTTATGTTGTTTTTTCCTGTAGTGAATGTATTTGTCCTGTTATTTCTGTTCTAAAATGCACTGATTTTAAAATAATCCTCTAAAACCATGAATGGTTAAAGGTTTGGTGTTAAAAAGGAAATAATGAAGAAGTACTTTTAAAAAGAAATCTTAAGCAATTATTCTAAACTTCCATTCATTTTTTTTTTCTTTTCTTTAGCTTTTGGCATGTTTTGAAGTACGTGATTGTGAATTTAACCCAACAAAGTAGTTTTTTTTTTTTTTTAATTAGCTCAACGTAGTGGTTCATATGCTACTAGACCTTCTAACAGTTTGTATTTCAGCATGAGTTTATAGTCGAGGACTGTGCTTTGTGCTTTTCCTTCCATGCATTATCCCTCTACCCATTCTAGGTACTGCCTCTTCTGCAGGATGCAGGGAGGAGTCCAGACTGAGTGTTAGTGGCCACACCTCACAGATACGGAGCCCAAGACCCCAGGACTAAAAATAGGGGAACACAGGTGGAACGGATCTTCTAGACTCTGTTGAGTACCTTCCCCCGCCCCCCATAGGAAGTTATATACAGATCAGTGGTACCCTCAGATTTATCTATGATGATTATCCCATAATTCATAAAGAGGTAGGAGTTGCTTATACATATTAAACATATTATTTCGTTTCTGCAGGAAGTTAGTCCTGTTTCTCTTTCTGATTTAATTCATACCCAGCTTATAGTTTTCTCTGTGAGATCTACCAGGGCAAATCTTGGAAAGTGTTTGAAACCGTTTCGGCTCTTGAATCTAAGTGTGATGTCTGCAACTTATTTTTAAATGGTTTAGTTAAAAACATAGTTTTTAAGTTTTATTTAAGTAATCTCTACACCCACCACAGGGCTTGAACGCATAACCCCAAGATGAAGAGTTGCACGCCCCTCTGACCGAACCAGCCAGGCGCCCCAGTCAAAACCCATAATTTAAAAGATATGTATACACACACAGAGATAAAGCAAGTGTGGCAAAGCATTAATAATTGGTGGACCCAAGCAAAAGGCATACTGGTGTTTTGTTGTACATTCACTTCAGCTTCTCTGTAGCTATGAAATTTGTCAAAATTAAAGGTTGAGGGGAAAAAAAGAAAAAAAACAGGTAAGTGTGGAGAATACAAGGAGAGATGAAGTAGGCAAACGGGGAAAGTCCATTTCAGTACAGATAATCAAGCGTGTTTGTGACAGAATGGTCTGGGAAAGGAAGAGTCACAGAATATGGTCACATACCATGAAACCTTTCTTCACCTTGGCTTCTTTGCATTCTCTTGTGCTTTCACTTTGCTCCTCACTGAAGTATTGGAATCTGATTTGCTATGGTCCTTCCTTCTCCAGCTGAAGCTCCGGGATTGCAGTCTCTTAGAAGAAAATTGCCTGTGCACTGACAGAATAAGTGGGGAAAAACATTAAATTGCAAATTGAATGCTTGGCTGTATGATTAATTTCTTCAAATGCTGCAAGTGTATTTTAATTACATTAGTGGCTCTTAAATGTGTCTTGCCGCTAAACTTACTGTCATTCTACATAGCCTGCCCCTGCCTCGAAGTAATTTGAATTACAGGATTAATTCCTTTTGTCAGGTGGCAGATATTGTCCTCATTGAAGGTGTTTGTTTAAGGTTGCTGTTATGTTGGGGTGGATATTGATGAAAAATGCTGCTGACACATACATTCTAGTCTCTCACAAGGCTGCTAGGTTGTACAAAGAGACTATGCAAGATTCAATATGTGCATTGACCAAAGTTTCCAAATTAATGTGAGATAGTTTTATCTATTCATTTGTTCAACATTGAATCACTGCTCTGGGTATTAGGAATAGGAAGGTAGCATCCCTCAAGGGGTTTTACTGTATTGGAGGATATAGCTATGTCCACAAATAAGGGCAATAAGCTGTAATAGATAGCAGGTTTGAATCCAGTAACTGGGAGAAAGGAAAGAACCCAGACTTGGGAGTCAGAAGTCTGGGATTGGAATCTTAGTTTATCACTTACACTTGTGTAGTAAGGCTTTTGCCACAGTCAAACGAGCTAATGTATATGAAGGCCTTTGGTAAGCCATAAAATGATCTATAGTGTTCATTATTATTATCTGTGTGTATTTTTAAGATCAGAATTTTAGAAAATATGTAAAAATGAACAAAACTAATTTTTATGTTATTGCTGTTGCTGCCTTTTGGGTAAAGGATGTTTTTGTGGAAAGAACACAGGCATTTTGGAATCCTATTTCCCTGAGAAATCCCATTTCCCTCAGAAAATAGAAATAATCGGAGGACTATTTCCATAAGATCCCACTCCCTCCCTGCATCTCTGTCTGTACACGGTACCTTTTCTCTTGTTTTTACAGATGAACTGTCCTTGTGCCCGCTAAGGCCAGCTGGTCTGTTTGTCCACCAGATCTCACACTCTTGCTTACTGAAGGATATTTTTCCTGCCTCATGAATTTTGCTGTCGATTAGATTTATCAGCATACAACATGCTTTTATTTTTCCATCATAAAAACCATTTTGTTTCATTTGGTTTCGGGGGATTTAGACCCCACTAAATCCTGCTACCACCCCCATTTATTTCCCTTTCTTCAACATGTTTGAGAGCTGTCTGTATTTGTTTACACTTCTTTCTTTTCTCTCTTGAATTCGAATTCACTTGTGTGGGAATTTACCTCCATCATTTCACTGAAGCTATCTTTTTGATGTTATCAGTGCCCTCCAATATTTTACCAGTTTATCAGTTCTATTGGTAGTTTTTCTTTCTTTCTTTCTTCTTTCTCTCTCTCTCTCTTTCTTTCAAAAAAGATTTTTATTTATTTGAGAGAGAGCAAGAGAGCGAGAGAAAACATGAGTGGGGGGAGGGGCAAAGGGAGAGGGAGAAGCAAGACTCCCCGCTGAGCAGGAAGCCCGATGTGGGGCTCGATCCCAGGACCCCGGGATCATGACCTGAGCCGAAGGCAGACACTTAATTGACTGAACCACCCAGGCGCTCCTATTGGTATTCTTTAATCCCTACAAATTGCTTTTACAAAAATCAGTTTATTTTCCTTTTTCCCTTTCTGTTCTCTTCCCTTTTTAAATTGTGTTATTGCTACTTTGACAAAACATGTAATATTTGCACATTAGTTTCTACCCTCATCCTCACCTTTCTTTAGTCTTCGATGTCCATTTCTTTTTCAGAATGCTGTTACTTCTTTTGTTGAAATGTTCCCAGTCATCTCTTGGTTGGATGAAATTATCTTCTAGTAGATGTGGTTTGTTTTTTAAGATTTTATTTTTAAGTAATCTCTGCACCCAACGTGGGGCTTGAACTCACCACCCCGAGATCAAGAGCTGCATGCTCTACTGGCTAAGCCAGCCAGGTGCTTCTCTTTTAGTAGATGTTTTAAGAAGGTCTCATAGGTAAAGAGTTCCTTAAGTTCTTTTATGTTCAAAATTGTTTTCCTATAGCCTGGATATTTGAAGGAAAACGTGTCTGGAGATAAAATCCTTAGTTTACCATTTCTTTCATTGAACTTAAAGAAAAGCCACTACTCTGTTATTGCTTTGCTTTGCCTGTGGAATTTGAAAATTCTCACTTATGTTAAATTATTTTCCCTACAAAGGGAAACATAGAAATAACATACAAATGTTATTTGGCCATTTTGTTTAGAGTGCCTTGAGGATTTTTGTTATCTTTGTGTGAAATTTAATAGCTTTCCTGGGTTATTTCTTGGAGTCGATTTTTTGGGGTTAATTTTCTCAGGTACCCCCGTTGGCTCTTTCAGTGTATAAACTCAGATCTTTTTCAATTTCTGGCAAGCTTTCTTAGATTATAATTTTGATAATGTTTTTAGATAGATGTCAAATCCCTTTGCTACCTTCCCTTGTCTGTCCTTCCTGGGCCCTGCAGTATTTTTACAGTTTGCTTTTGCTCACCACCAGGCCTTGTAGTGGGTGTCATGGGGAGGTGGGAGTTGGCAGGAGCAGTGGAGATGACACCTGGGATTTGGTGATTTTTATTTTTCTACTTAAAATCATTTTGAAGTTTGGGTTATCGTCTGTCTTCAAGTTAAGCTGAGGGCACTTTTTTTTAAGATTTTTTTTTTATTATTTATTTGAGAGTGAGAGAGCACGAGTAGTTGGAGGGACAGAGAGAGAGGGAGAAGCAGGCTCCCCGCAGAGCAGGGAGCCTGAGTTGGGGCTCGATCCCAGGACCCTGAGATCATGACCTGAGCCAAATGCAGACGCCCAAATGACTGAGCCACCGAGGCATGCCTGAGGGCATGGTTTTCACATAGATTTATCTTTTTCTGTCTTTCTGTCTGTCTGTCCTGTAATCTCTGCACCCAACCTGGGGCTTGAACTCATGACCCTGGACCAAGAATTGCATGCTCTACTAACTGAGCCAGCCAGGCACTTCATATTTTCCCTTGTTTTTTTTTTTTGGAGGAAATATTGGGAAATATGGAGCTAGGTCATCACTAATGGCTTTAGCTACTCAGAGGTTCTGGTAGGAAAATTTTTAACCTCGACAAAACAGTACTCCTTTTTCTCTTAAGGAAAAATTCATATAGTATAAAATCAACCATTGACCATCTTAAAGTACACAGTTCACTTGCATTGAGTACGTTCACGGTGTTGTGCAACCAACCATCACCAGGATCTAGTTCTAGGATATTTTCATCACCCCAAAAGGAAACCTCATACCTATTAATTAGGTTGTCACTCCCTGTTCTTCCTCCCTCCAGCTCTTGGTAGCCACTAGTCTGTTCTGTTTCTATGGATTTACCTATTCTGTTTCATATAAATGGAATCATACAATATGTGGCCTTTTGTATCTGGTTTCTTTCATTTAGCATAATATTTTGGAGGTTCATCCAAGTTGTAGCATGCATCAGTGCTTCATTCCCTTTTATGGCTGCACCGTATTCCGTTGTGTGGATATACTACATTTTGTTCATTCTTTCTTTAGTGGTCATTTGAGTTGTTTCCACTTAATAGTATTGCTATGAATATTTGTTTGGTACAAGTATTTGTTTGAATACCTGTTTTTGATTCTTTTGGGTATGTACTGAGGATGGAATGGCTGGGTCAAATGGTAATTTCATGTTTAGCTTTTTGAGGAATAATCATACTTTTCCCCAGCAGCTGTACCATTTTACATCCCCTCAGTAGTGTACTAAATTCTCTTCATCTTCAACAAAACTAGTTGTTTTCTGTTTGTTGAAGTATTCCTTTCTCCTCTCTTGCTTTTATAAATGTATCTCTTAAATCTAAAGATAAATAGTCTTGTGTTATATTATTTCAAATACTGGTTTCTAAATGTTGATTTTTTTTTTTTTTTGGTATTTTTTCAAGTATAGGATCAATTCCTTAATGAATGAAATTTCTACTGGAAATTTTGACTTTTCCATAATAATGATAGGATAAAAATGATAACCCGGAGAACCTCATTTGAAAAGAGCTTGAGTGGCTTCTAATTTGCATAGATTGTAGTAGATTTGTTATGTGTGTATTTAAAAAACAAAACATTTGAGTATGGGTGTATGTTGACATATTTACCACTTGGATTTTTTTTCCCAAATAAAAATAGAGTCTCACCAAGATCTTGGACGCCTATTGATTTTCTCAACTATTTCTTTCTTTCTTTTTTTTTTTTTTTAAGATTTTATTTGCTTGTCAGAGAGAGAGAAAGAGAGTGAGCCAGTGCAGGAGCAGGGAGGAGGGGCAGAGGGAGAGGGAGAAGCAGACTCTCTGCCTAGCAGGGAGCCCAACACAGGGCTTGATCTCGGGACCCTGAGATCATGACCTGAGCTGAAGGCAGACATTTAACTGACTGAGCCACCCAGGCACCCCTATTTTCTCAACTATTTCTTAAAATACTAGGTTTGCTGTAATTTGCATTTCATGATAAAAGAATTTTTACAGCGAGAAAGCATTCCATTAATTTTTCTTTGTATGATGTGCATTTATTTTGTAGGTACCAAAGACATTGGGATTATTAAGGATGTTAAGTGTCAAGTTTTATAGTCGCCCGGGACAACAACAGGTAACTCATAAGCTTAACCTTGTGCTTCTCAGATATTTTCACCCTGAGTACCTTTAAAGGACAATTGAATGAACCTTGAATGTTATAGATCTTCATCTGGATGTGCTCTTAATTGCACACTATGTGGGCGTATACATAAGTAAAAACTCATAGAACTATTCACTGAAATTTGTTTTACTATATATTATTATCTCAATAAAGAAACTTAAAAAAGTAAAGAATGAACCTAGTTCTCTTGAGTCTGGGAATGTAAGCCAAAGAAATCTCCTGGAATCATTATATGATCTGAAGTTTTTTATCTTGTGAATTTTGTATCCTTGTCTACAATATATCCTTTTCAGTTTGTTTTAATTAAAAAAAAAAAAAATCTGAGGTTATTGAAGCTCCCAGAAGAAACAAGCCACGTTGATTCTGAGCTTCAAGTACCATTGTTATACTGCTTTCCTCAGTAAGAGATGCGTGGATTCAGGGCAAGGATGTTTGTCAGCTTCATCCTGATATGAGTGAGACGCTCAGGAGCTGCCTCTGGGGGAGGTGGTTCTATTCACTCTCTCTCTGTCTTGCTCTCACAAATGTCTGGGCCCACATGGAGGCCTCGGATCATACCCTTCCTGTTTTGGGGAGAACCGAACAACCTCATTTTTCTGTTTCTCCAATTTCTTTACTAACCCAAAGGAAATTATAAGAAAATACAGAAATCGTAAGAAATAAGATGAGCATTCTGTTCATTTGTATTTAATATATTTAAAATTTTGAGTTCTAGTTCTTTCTATGCCATTGACTTCAGCTAAATCATGTATTCTGGATTGGTTTGGCATTTTGTCTGTAGAAGCAAGCAGTACCACTACTGTTTATGTCTGGAAGGTCACTTTCATGTTGAATCCCCGTATGTTTGTGCTGTTTTCTAGTTAGCATTCTCTTCAGTCAGTTCATGGAGTTTGTTTTCATTTTGCAGATGAAGAAACTTATGGAAGATCAAGTGACTTGGCCTCTGCCTTGCACTTGGTTCTTTCTAATTTACTATGTTGTCTCTGTTGGTCTATTACCATTTTAGTGCAGGAGAGCCAGAGCGTTACTTTGCTTTTTCTCCCTGTGTCCTTTCCCCATTCTCCTTAATACTATTTAAATTACTATCTTTTTTTTTCATATTTTTAATTTAACTTCTAGTTAGTTAATATACACTGCAATGTTGGTTTCAGGAGTAGAATCTACTCCTAAGTTACTATCTTTAACAAATTTTAAAGGGCTCACTTTTTAAAAAAAAATTTATTTTGTTGACTGTAATAAAACAAAAATATGTCATTTCAGTGTTTATTCATTTTTTTTTTTTCTGTCAATGAGCAAACACTCCATTTGAGCCCAGGCATAATGTTAGAGCTGAGAATAAATAGGTGAATAAAATGCGTTGTATTTCCTCAAGGAGCCCTCTGTGTAGTGGGGGAGACGGTTGTAGAAGTGGTTGTGAAACAACACAATATTACACATTTTATAACCCCTTCTGTAACATCATATGAAGTACCATTGAGGTGCAGAAGAGGGAGCCTTTCATTCTGGAGGGGATACTTGATTTGGAAGTAAGAGTTCCTCATGCAAAAGGAGGAACACCGGATGTTTCCAGGCTGGCAGCAGCATGTGCAAAGTTCTGGAAGTGTCCGCAGTGCTGGGATTCTCCGGTTTGCTGGGCTGCAGGATCCATAGACGCTTGTGGTTTGTATTCGGTGTTTATTTCACTTGGACTAGTGTAGTTGTAGTATCTTTAGAACAAGAATTATTTGGGCGCCTGGGTGGCTCAGTTGGTTAAGCGACTGCCTTCGGCTCAGGTCATGATCCTGGAGTCCCGGGATCGAGTCCCGCATCGGGCTCCCTGCTCGGCAGGGAGTCACCTTCTCCCTCTGACCCTCCTCCCTCTCATGCTCTCTGTCTCAAATAAATAAAAAAAATAAAAATCTTTTAAAAAAAAAAAAAGAACAAGAATTATTTGGGGATTGCTATTCATGCTTCTCCTTTGTATTATATCCTGTGTAATTATTAGATACTGTGTTTATTAGTTGATTTGGGATATTAATAGGCAAATATGACTCTGTTCAACCAGTATAGAAAGACCTGTTTTTAAAAAAACCTTCTTACCACCTGGGAACTCCAGTTGTGTGTTGCCTTGACCCTGCTATTGGCAGTTCTCTTGTATGGAACGCGGCTCTTTCTCCTTAATCAGAGTATCCTCTGTGATTGAGCACAAGGGAGAAGCAAACAACTCATTTCCTTATGTTTTGATCTATCCTAATGGCACATTGTACCAGAATCCTTAAAAAGATGTTATGAAATTAGTATTCTAAAATCAATGCCTTCAGTAAATATCTGAATGTTATGTGTTACCTTATTTGTACGTGTTGGTTCCTAGCCCAGAAGTAATTATGGGGCATAGATTTTTTTGTGCTGTAACTGTAGAGCTGAAAGGCCTCATATGGGTTATCTAATAATTCCCTATTATTGTGAATGCTTTCTAGCTTACATGTACTTTCACATGATCTCACAGGAAGCTTGTGTTATTGGCATTATGATGCCTATTTTATTTTAATTCAAATATAGTTAACACACAGTGTTGTATTATTTCAGGTGTACAATATAATGATACAGCACTGTTATCCGTTACTCCGTGCTCATCATCAGTGGACTCTTTAATCCCCTTCACCTATTTCACCCATTTCCTGCCTCCCCACCTCCCCTCTGGCAACCACCAGTTTGCTCTCTGTATTTAAGAGTCTGTTTTTTTAATCTCTTTTTTTCTTTGTTTTATTTTTTAATTCCACATATGAGTGAAATCATACAGTATTTTGCCTTTCTCTGACTGACTTATTTCGCTTAGCATTATATCCTCTAGATTCATCCATGTTGTTGCAAACGGCAGAATTTCATTCTTTTTAGAGCTGAGTAATATTCCATCGTTTATAATATACCACATCTTCTTTATCCATTCATGTATGGATGGACACTTGGGTTGGGTCCATAGTTTGGCTTCTATAAATAATGCTGCAATAAACATAGGGGTGCACATATCTCTTTGAAATAGTGTTTTCATTTTCTTTGGGTAAATACCCAATAGTGGAATTTACTGGATCACATGGTAATTCTATTTTTAATTTTTTGAGGAACTTCCATACTGTTTTCCATAGTGGCCGCACCAGCTTGCATTCCCACCAACAGTGCATGAGGGTTCCTTTTTCTTTACATCCTAGCCAACACTTGGTATTTCTTGTTTTTGATTTTAGCCATTCTGACAGGTGTAAGGTGACATAGTGGTTTTGATGTGTATTTCTCTGATGATTAGTGATGTTGAGCACTTTTTCTATATACAGATGTCTGTTGGCCATCTGTATATATTTTTTGGAAAAATGTCTTTTCTTGTCCTTTGTTCTTTTTTTTTTTTTTTTAAAGTAGGCTCCATGCCTAGCATGGAGCCCAGTGCAGAGCCTGAACTCATGACCCTGAGATCAAGATCTGAGCTGAGATCAAGAGTTGGATGCTTAACCAACTGAGCCACCCAGGCACCCCGATCTGTTCATTTCTAGTTGTTTTTTGTTTTTTTTTTAGATGTCGAATTGTGTAAATTCTTTCTTTTTTTTATTTTTAAAGATTTTATTTATTTTTAGAGAGTGAGAGTACACACATGTGAGCAGGGAGATGGGGAGGGAGAGAGAATCTGAAGAAGACTCTGTGCTAAGTGTGGAGCCTGAGGCAGGGCTCCATCTCATGACCCTGTGATCATGACCTGAGCCGAAATCAAGAGTTGGACGCTTGACCAACTGAGCCACCCAGGTGCCTTTTTAAGTTCTTTATTTTTTATATTAGTCTTCTATTGGATATAAAATATGCCAATATCTTCCTCCATTCAGTAGGTTGTTTTTTGTTTTGTTGATGGTTTCCTTTGCTGTGCAAAACTTTTTATTTTTGTGTGGTCCCAATAGTTTAATTTTCTTTTTGTTTCCCTTGCCAAAGTATATCTAGAGAAATGTTTCTATGGCTGATGTCAAAGAGATTACTGCCTATTTTCTTCAGGAAATTTTATGGTTTCAGGTCTCATATTTAAGTCCTTAATCCATTTTCAGTTTATTTGTGTGTATGGTGTAAGAAAGGTGTCCAGTTTCATTCTTTTGCATATAGCTGTCTTGTTTTCCCAGCACCATTTGTTGAAGAGACCATTTTTCTCCCATTGTATATTCTTGCCTCCTTTGTTGTAGGTTAATTGACCATAAAAGCATGGGTTTATTTCTGGGCTCTCTATTCTCCTCCATTGATCTATGTGTTTTTTTGTTTTGTTTTTGTGCCAGTACCATACTGTTTAGATTACTATAGCTTTGTGTTATATCTTGAAATCTGGGATTGTGATACTTCCAGTTTTTTTCTTTTTCAGGTTGCTTTGGTTATTTGGGGTCTTTTGTGGTTCCATACAAATTTTAGGATTATTTGTTCTAGTTCTGTGAAAAATGCTGTTGGTATTTTGATAGGGATTACACTAAATCTGTAGATTGCTTTGGGTTCAGTAGTGTGGACATTTTAATAATATTGGTTCTCCCAACCCATGAGCATGGGATATCTTTCCATCTGTTTGTGTCATCTTCTGTTTTTTTCTCTGATGTTTTATAGTTTTCAGGGTACAGGTCTTTTACCTCCTTGGTTAAGTTTATTCCTAGATTTTTTGTTTTTGTTTTTTTGGTGCAGTTGTAAATGGGATTGTTTCCTTCCTTCCTTCCTTCCTTCCTTCCTTCCTTCCTTCCTTCCTTCCTTCCAAGGATTTTATTTATTCATTTGAGAGAGAGAGCACAAGGAGGGGGAGAAGCAGAGGCAGAGGGAGAAGGAGACTCCCCTCTGAGCTGGGAGCCCAACATGGGATGTGATCCCAGGACTTGGAGATCATGACCTGAGCTGAAGGCAGACCCTTAACCATCTGAGCCACTGAGACGCTCCAGGATTGTTTCCTTAATGAAGTAGCAGAAAGAGAAATT